AGGCCCTCTGTGCCTGTATTCACATCAGTATCTGCCTGTTTAAGTGCAGTGATTTAGCAATTAATATAGATACATTGGTGCAACCCCTCAGAGTGGATGGAGACCACGCAGCATAAAAGCAGCACAATTGGTACAGTGTGTCTTGACAGCATGTAACTCCTTCATATTAGGAGCAGTATGGCCTTAATGATACTAGTTTAAAATTGCTTCCTGAGTGAAACAGCTGAACTGCCACAAAGCCTTGAGAAAGGGAATGCATTTCAGGAAGGGAGGAGAAGGAAGGAGAGAGACACAGCAGAGGGAAAGGCTTTAAAGTTAACGTTATACAGAGAAACCTTTTTAAAAGCCTGTTTCTGACAGTGCTGATAGTGACAGTAAACGAGGCTGATCTGAGAAGGATACCCTCTGCAAACCCTGGCTTTTCAAAGTTACCTCTGTTTCTGAGATAATGGAAGCTCAGAAGCCCCTGTCATGGAACATAATGTGGAATCGATTTTGCAAGGCTTTATCTACACAATGTTGCACCAGTTTAATTAAAGGTGTGTTTTTAAATCAATTCGACTAAACCAGTCCAAGCTCTTATGTAGACACTCTGAAATCTGTTTGAGACTTACATCAACAGAGGTTTATTTGGCAAAAAAACAATTCACAGTGAACAGGTAAAATGCTTTGTAGATTGAAAGAACCAAAAATAGAGTCTAAAATAAATCTTAATTAAAACAATAAGCGTAATAATTTTTTCCATTTCCATCCTAGCTGTGCTAAGCTGTGGTGGCCTAGAGAAGCCTACTCCATTTCCTCCCTAGGAAGGATGTGAACTCACTCCTTTGCAGCAGTGTTTAAGACCTTTTAACAGATATTGATCTTTGTGAAAAGACACAGTGTAAGGCCCTGTGAAACTAGGAAGTCTGAAAAGGTGGCAAGTATAAGGGAAAAAGGTAGTGAAATACAGAGACCACTTTAATCTTTCTATCCTATTTGAATAGCTTCTGTAATGCAGAAAGGAGATCAGCAATGTTCCCTCTCCATCATTAGTGCAAGCTCTCATGCTTCGGAAGCGGGGAGCAGCTAAAATAATGCACAGTTGGGGGGGGGGAGGAGGGTTAGGGAAGGGGAGGGTGTTTTGTAATCAGGCCAATGTTATTCTGTCAATCTAATGCTGCTGGAACCAAGCCAAAACCTTTCCTTTCTTAAGGGTCTGGCAGGGGATAGAAAGGATTTTAGAACTCTACTGCAGACTAGCTGTGTGGAAATTTCCCAGAGTTTAAGGATTTCTGTGCAATCCTTTCCAATCATTAACACTCCACCAGGCTGTAAATGAAGGTCTGTGCTTGAGTCCTTGGCTTACAGTAATGTACCCATGCTATTTCCGCACCTGAGAAACACCTGGATAAATGGGCATAAACTTGCTACTGACGCACTGCTGAGGACATGCCTGTCTTTGCTGCTGCTCTGCAGACACAGCTAGACACCAGATCCAAAGCTGCACGGCTGCAGCCAAAACTCGGGGCCAGATTCTGCCCTAGGGAACAGGAATCCTCACACATGCCAGAGCAGGAGCAGAGCCAGGATGCTTCCCTACTAATACTTCAGCAAAACCTTGTCAGCATTGAGAACAAAGTATCTCTTCTCCATGGGGAAGGGCACAATCCTGCCAAGTGCCGTGCCCTCTCGAGGCCCTATACATGGGACCTGAGGGTACTCAGCTTCTCAAATGGGCCACTGCACCGCAGAGTGGAGCAGGGAGCAATCAAGCACCAGCCTGTCATTGCAAAAGATGATTTTTCAATCTTTTCCTTTGCTTCGGTTATGTTACTCTAAAAACTGTGAAGCCAACAGGACTTAAAATTACGTGGATTGTGAACTACTGTCCCAATTATTGTGAACTGTGTTCCTAATTATGAAATTTTATTTTAAAGCACTTATAACTATGCATGACAGCAAGTGCACCGTATCCTTTTACTCCTCTGAAGTGCCGCTAATGGGTAATGTGCTACTTCACTTTCTGTTCACTTCAACAGATTTATTTTCAGAGCGAATCCTGTGTGAATTTCTCCTGAACCAAACTCTTTCCCTGCTGAGAATATATAATCCTACTGTCTTGTTAGAGCAAAAATCATGTATGAGACTTGATGCAAAACAAATCCCCTGTCAAACCATTTCTTCCTTTTCATTTGGACAGTTATCCTTCTGATAACTTACAAGGAAAAAAGTTCTTCCATTGCCTAGGTCAACCTTGTGAAGAGGACAGTATCAGTTTGACAACAGCATAAACAAACTGATTCTCAATCTTAGCAGTGCTACAACAGATTGAGCATTTTTTTCAATGCACATGGACAAAAAAAAAAAAAGCAATACTGCAGTAGGTCAGTGGAAAAAAACCCTGAAATATATAGTTAGTTGTAGTTCACTTTGGTTATAGAAAATTACCTATACGATGCAGCAATATCTTAAGTCTCCCTTTACTTATACACTGCACCCAAATGTATTGCATCTACTGTCATCAGTCATGACTGTACTTACTGTCTGTAATGGGATGCCATTCCTCAGCTTGGTAAGCTTAAAATTAAGTGATTTTCCTGGAAACTGTTTCTCTGTAGTATCGTTTGATCTGCTGTAGTTAAAAAGCCATGTCGTTGGTTGCATTATAAATTCCATTTTACAGTCCTCTTTTTTTAATATAAATTAATTGTAGCTTTCCTCTAGGCTTAATGCTGGTACAAAGGGTTCTGGCTGATGAGCAAATCTTTTCCATAGACAAGAATAAAATTCTATCATTTTAAAATAACAGTGCCATAAAAAGCTCAAAGGAACAAACTTGCTTAAGTCAGCTGCACAAATGAAAGTTGACAAGTGATTAGCTCCTTCTGGGAATTAATTGTTTTCTACATTTGAGGGGAAAAAAAAATTGTCGTCGTTGACTTTGGAAAGGGCCTGAAGCATGGGCTTTGAAAGCTTATAATGCTACAAACACCAGTTTAAACAATTACATATTTAAGCAATTTTTATATCATACAGCCGTCATGACAAAGCACAACAAACGCCCCAAAAACACTATTTCTTGCAAAAAGCAGGCTAGTAAAAACTAAGCAAGGTATTATATAAACAGGTAATATCTTCGTAGTGAAGGACCTGCAGCAGCAAATACATGAGTTCCTACCTTCAAAATTTAAGAACGACACATTGAGCCCCTAGAGCAGAACACACCTGTGCATGACCAAAAGATAAACTGTTGCTTGCCCTACAGGGTGAAAGCAATTTAAATGGTTTTTGCTGGTTGTCATCCCTTCTTTTTCTATCAGATTAAAGAATAAGAAGGGATCTTTTTTTGCTGGCTTCTATTTTGAGAAGATGGTTAAAATTGCATTTGGATTATTCTGCTTCTTACTGGCTACATTGGAATAACATCACACCAGAACAACTGTTCCTCTGATTTCTCACATCTCAGTTTCCAAGGAAAGGAAATTAAGGACTGTACACTTGGTTAGAGGTGCAGTGCAATTTGGATAGGGCCTTCCATTAGATGGACACTACTACGCACTGAAGTAGATACAGTCTCTGTCAAGAATAACTTGCCCCTGGGAACAGGACGGTGGGCTGCTGCTGATCACATTTGTTTCCTAGACCTCAGAACAGAGAACAGTTATTTTTTAGTCTGTGCACATTATCTTAGATCACAGTTCATGTCCATATAAAGCATTAAAAGTTAGAGTGCTTTGAGTAGATAGCTTCAAGTATGCCACATATCAGACTCCACATATTTTTATGCAGTGCATCTTTCTATCTCAGCAGTGGAAAATTATTTCACAAATTCTCACGCACTCCTGTGACAATTTTGGCACTCTGTAGTACAGTCCTGTGGGTCAATCGTAACTATTTTCCCTTTGTGAAGTAATATTTTCATGCTACTTGTTTTCTGGATTAAGATCTGCTCTGGCAAACTCTACTCTATAATACCATGTGAGACCCATCTACATTAATAAACTCCTTAAACTCTGAGGTAGAAGACAAAGAAAAGAGGAAAAAGGGCATTCATTTGTATGTTCTAAATATTAAAATATTGGACCTATCAGATTTCAAAGGGTCTCATGTTAGACAGCCAACCCAGGCTGAGATGTTGCCATTGATTCAGCTATACGATTCGGATGAGGAGCAATATGTTCCTTGAGGGTCTACAGTATAAACAAATTTTCAAAGGAGGGTATAATATTACCCATAGTTTTGGGCATGAGAGCAAGGTCTGCTTGTGTTTTGCTTTTTTTTTCTTCTACCTAGATGGACAGACTTATCTCACAAGTAAGATAAGATCAGCAGTCATGATTTTGCATTCTTCTATTCTTTGCCAGGACATAGTGGTCATGACTTTTAACACTAAGAGGATAACAGCAAAGAACAGGTCAATGTAGTATGAAGGGAAGAAACAGAAGCTGAATGAAAAAAAAAGCCAAACAGCAAAAAGAGAGACTATAAGTTCATATAAAAAACAATGAGTATTAGAGATAGCCTCCAGAAAGCAAGAAAAATTTGAGACAGCAGAGAATACATTTTATAGCCTTATGGACCTCTCTGAACATGTGAGCACACCCTTGCAATGATTAGTGTCTCTCACAGTTAATGCGAAAAATATTGCTTCTAGAACTTGATTTCCCAAGTAATACCATGTTACAGGGCAAGTCTGATTAGATAGTAGTAAAAGAAAAATAGTGTAAGTTCCAGGAGAATGCTAGTGAAGCTGCTTTTTCAATATACATATTTCTGCAAGTAGAATTAGGCAGAGATTTCCAAGAAAGGTTTTGCTTCTCACTCTTCATTCTGACTTGTTACAACCAGAAACTTTGCTTACTGTGGAGGTGATCCTTTCCATTCAGTACCTCCCGTGACACAGCACTTGGTTTACTGGGTTGAGTAATTATTTCTCCCATTCTGTGGTACAGGTAGCAGACAGATAAAGCCAACAGGGCAGAAGACACACTAATCAGATCACTAGATCTGATACTTACTTCATACTCCTCTTTAAATCCATAGCCTTCTGCACACTTCATTTGGGTGATGTGCTGCAGTAAGTCAGCTACACGGATGGCTGGATGAAGCTGTCCAGTCTGGTAGGGCACATCTGCTGGATCTCGCTTCTTGTAGGTATGGGATTGAACCAGGCTGCTTGTGTCACTGACCATCGTATGGGTTTCATCTAGGAAAAGAGTATCTCATTATGTACTGGCTCATTTTTACTTATAAACAAAAATACAAATCACACAGATTTCTAGAAGAATGGCAGAAATCTGACATCATCAACATTGCTTCTGTCTGTGAAGGCTACGTGCCAGAAGAACAGTAAATCCATGGAGCAGTTTACACAGGGAAATTGCAAGACTGATTGGAATGAGGCAAATTCCATGGTTCTACAATGGAAGCATTGCAGAGCAGTCCAAACTATAATATTGCTTTAAATAACACTGGCTGATTATAAAAGAGTTTTAAATTAGGCATTTGGTTCTAAGTTGCATAGAAGTTTCATTCTGAAACTTCAGCAAGTCCTATAGAACAAAACAGGACTTGCAGACTTCCTAGATTAGTTAACTGAAATATTTTACACTGCAAATTTAGGGCAAATGTTTGGAGTGAGCAAAATAAAAGGATGCACAAAATGGCTTATGGTTTCATCAAGCTAGGACTGCAATGGAAATGTAGATCTGATACAACGTTTAGAGACAAACCACAAGAGGACAAATGCAGAGGATCATCTGATCAGGAAAAATGTCTTGACTGGCTGCTGAACATGCTTTAGGACCACGGTATATCATGAGCCATCACATTAGGCGTGAAATGTTATGTGTCAACTGACATGCAAGCCAACAAACAGGAAAACCCAGTGGGCTGGTTATAATTTGGATGAAACACATACTCTCCCAACCCTCCACATCTCTTCCATGGGGCAAATGGGCAACTTACCATTGATTGGCACTTTAAAGAAGATACAAATCAGGAGAAAAAAAGAGGAGGAGAAAAAGGAAACAGGGCATAAGCAACAGTACTACATTAATAATTACAGGTAATTTTATGTTTGTAATTTAGTCTTTACAGTGTGATTTCCTAAATGAGTCAGATTCTGATCTCAGTTTCACTGTATAAATCAACTCCAATAGCACAAAGGTCTCTTACTGTGAATCAGTTCACAAAGATGTAACTGAGATCAAAATGTATACTTTGCAATAAAACAGATATGAAAATGCTCTCTACTAAGGAAGCAAAGTCATTTTCTTCCTATTTAGATGGGAGTTCTTAAGACTAGTAAAGACTTGAGAAGAAAAAAAAAAAGCAACCCAAATTCTGAGGTCAAAATATCATTAAAAATACATTTTACTGCTACCCAAATAATAATTTTATGTATCTCAAGGAGTTCTTGATTTTTAACTGCAATTATAGATGGAGGGCATTGACTTGGCCAAAGTACTCCTTGTTGGCTGCACAGCGCAAGAGGTTTACAAGTAGAATATATTTATAAATATACAAAAAAAAAAAATCTTTTGTAAAATACAGTGAATGATAGGGAAGCACTAAAAATATATAGCCACATTCAGAAGTTAAATACATCATAGTGGAAAACTATTCATTTTTTCTGAATGAAAAGGTCCCGAATTCTCTTTTACATTCTAAACATACTACCACATCTCATTAAAGGTGAGATTCTGGTCATACTTGTATCACTGGAAATAGATGTTAATGCCACAGAATTCGAAGAATAATATTTCAGGAATGATTTCAGGATTTGTCAGTTCACAGTGATAACAAGATGTATGAAATCTGGTCCTCATACAGTCAGTATGGAAGGTGCATTTAAATCTAAACCAAGCAGAGAACAATTTATGGGCATGAGTATGTGCACTATTTTTCATGCTGGTTTAGTAACCTGAATCAATCTAGAAGAAAACAGACTCATCATTTAGTGAGAGAATTTGACAACTTCTGTCTACTGTGTGATAAAATTGTACTGCAAAGCACCTTGGGATGCATGGCATGAAACGTGGTATACAAGTGTAGGTACAATATGTCGCTGTTGAAATGGCACCTGAAAACTACAAAGTGGCTAAGACAAAAAAGACAAAAAAAAAAAAGTGTAGGATTATGATTTTTGGTTGGCTTATTTCCATTTTAGAAGCAGGTTAGAGAATTAGCTTTTTTTTAATCATTATTTTTTCCTCTCCAAATTAGGGAAGCCCTCGTAACCCAAACTGTTAATATCTGGGATGAATGCAAAGTTAACAGACATCAGATTCTTATGCTATCAAAGCTGCAGTTTCATCCTTATTAGTTTATTTTCCACGACCTCCTTTGTTTTAATTTTCCTCTCTCCGTCTCTTTATTTCTTATAGTTACATTAATCCCATTTTTCTTTCTTCAGGAGTAATGTATTAAGTTGCTTTAAACAAAGCACTTAGATTCCTTGGTTTATATGATATATTATGAAACCACAAATATTACAGTTTTTTGGTTTGCTTTTGAGCACTCTAGCACAAGCTTTTCAGCATTTCTGCTCTCTGGAAGGGTGAGCTCTTCCAGATGGAATGTTCATACAGAATGGGAAGTCTGTCCCTTTTGTTTAAGATCTCTTACAATTTCAGTTATTCTACTTCCCACTTACTGATTCCCATAGAGTTGTACAACACTTAAAAAAATATATTAACTTGCCACTTATATGACCTTATAGCATGCGAGGCATCTGCAAAGCCAGCACGCTATCTTCAGGACAGCACTCTTTTATTTCTCCAATTTCAGTAATACATACAACTGAAACATGACAAGCATGACCTACACTCATGTAAATTTAGTGGCTGTCATGTAAAGCTTTAATTGAGCTCTCAAGTTTTCTTTTCAGCTATTAGAATAAGCATGAAAGTTTTCCCTCAAATATATGAAAATTTCCTCATATCTGAAACTGAGAAGTAAGATTGTTGCCCATTTGAACTGTATGTCATTAGCTTTAATTAATTTTCTCTTTCTGTTTGGTGGAGTTCCTAATATGCACGAATCGGCCCAAAATTGTGCTATAGAGAAATTTGGAAATGGTAAGTGTATTGCAGCCATTGCAGGAGTTTCTGACTGAGAAAACTGAGCTCAGCCATTTGCAATACCTGTACCTTCCAAGGAGGTCACACTTTTAACTACACACTTGACCCTACAGCCTAAAATGGCTTCTTTAAACATTGAAAGGTCATTGAAAGGTGGCAAGAGCAGGTGTTAGTTGCAACAGAAACACAGCACTTTTGTTAACAGCTGTAATCTTCAACTGATTTGAACACAGCTAATTTGATTTACCTCAAGTAAAACATTATTCCTATAGAAACAATTATAAACACCTTTTGAGAAATAAACCCTGTTTGAATATGACACCATTCATAATACTTCTAAAATGTAAGGTTACAAAAATATTCATTATCTACATGGAAATATCTGGAAGGTTTTTTGAAATGGGAAGTCACATGTTGCTGTATTGGACCATAAAATATGTATCAAACTAATTCAAGACTTTACAGACTTATATATGCAAAGATTTTTTTATTTATTTTTCTTCCAGTGTGTTTGTCTGATATCTGAACTGCTTACTTAAAGATTATTTTTTGTGGGGAAAAAAGAGCTAACAAATACTTTTACTTTTTGCAAAGGATTGCAAACAAAAGGAAAACCAAGTGAAACCAGTGAAAACATTAACTAAGATGGAATAACTCAGACAACAAAAATCTCAGAGTTTTTCTCCTGATAACACTTTTCTCCTTGCCCACCCACAAGGTTAGAACATCTACTGGATGAAGTGTTGAGTGAATGTTAAAGCACACACAAAAAAATCTAAACATTTCAGGCAGTTAAAAGGCACTGCAAATTTCATTTGCATGCAGATCATTACATTGTCACAGTCACTACCATTACCTTCTCCCAAATTTACATAATGTATAAAAACACACTGGTTCCTTCTCAAAGTTAACATACTGAAATGCACTTTTCTAAATCTTGTTTTACAAGAACAAGCTTACACAGATCAAATTCCTATACTGGAAGTTCCTCTGTGCTTCACTCTATTTAAGATTGTTTTACTTGAATTTTAAAGAAAAGAATCAGTTAAGAGGTCTTTATTTTTCATTTTTTTTTATGGTGATGTGAAGAAAAAGGAGAAGAAGAAAAAAATTGTTTGAGAAAATGTCAGTAATAGTAAGATGAGTAGAGAGATTTGGCAGTGGAATTTGAACTCTTGCTACAGAGCACTGCTCTGTATTTTATCACTTTAAAGTATTTCCCTGTTTAGTTTAAAGTTACTATGCGAAGAAAGTGTAAATAAATACAAGACAGTGTAGTCAGTTTCTTCAGCACTGACAATGCAATGGCACTTCATGTTTACAATTTGCTTACTGTGTGAAATTGCTCTCTTTCTGATATTGGACAACAGGATTTCTCAAATTCCCTGTGGAAATGCTGTATACTTTAACTGTATGTTTTTAAACTACAGTTCTACCACTTCATTTTATACCTGTGACACCTGATGCACAATAAACTGTATTACTGAAGTGTCATGTTATTGTTTTGCTGTTCAAAATACCAACTCTCCTCTGAAACTTCACTTTGACAATCATGTGAGAAACCGTGGCATTATGGTAAGAAATGATAGCTGGTGGATGGCCCAAACCCTATTTTGTCTGATTTTCTACATTGTGAATAGTCTAATTAGGAAAAAAAGGTGTTTTTAAAAAGTGACATCTTCTGTTCTGAGAAAAAAAAAAGGAAAAAAATGAGGGAAACTATTTCAATTGCTGTGATAATCAAATTCTTTTGTATCACTCCAAATACATGCATAAACATTTCCTCACAAATCCACTTGTTAAAATTCTCTTTTTTCTCCCCTGACTTGCACTGTGACAGTAGAAATCAAGTCTGATAACTGTCTTTAGCACTCACAGTGTAGACAAGCCTACCACCCCTCCCTCAAGCATAAAACTACAGCTTTTTTGCATACTATTGTCTGTGGCTTTCTAAATTACTTCAGCAATAACTTTGATAAAGGGAAATGTTCTCACCTAAAATTGCAGTTGGCACAAATGGATCTGTCATACATCATAAGCAGGTCAATGCAGAAAAGGTAAAAAGAGAGAGAACAGAAAATGATTGATAAGCGTTCCTGAGTTTTCTTTCAGAAAGGTACTGTAAGCAACTGGTTACATGGAACACGTATTAAATATCCATGGCAAGGAGTATAATAACATAATTACATATGCTTCTGTAATGAAAAAATTTACATGGGGTTGAAGCAAAGAAAAAAAAAATTGGTTACCTGGGTAATAAGAGTTAGGCACTGTCGTGCTCAGTGTATTAGTTTTCATTGTAAATGAAGATGGTGAAGATACAGCTGCAAAAAGAAAGAAGGCTAGTTAGAGACGGCAGAGTGCTATGCAGCTATTTAAGCTGAGTGACAAGGCACGTGCGGCTGATTTGGTTTTCTGCCATGCTTGTCACACTCTAATCGGGACCCAGGGAAAAGCAGGTGCGTCTAGTGAACAAAATGAATGACTTACAGAATTTGATCAATTGCCTTGAAAGAAATATCATCAGATAAAGCATTTTGATCAGCGATGACAAATATACCTTTTAAATCACAAGACTAGACTGAATACTGGTGCTTCAATAAAGACATCACAGTGACAACAGGTGCTTTTGACAGAAGCTTTGATCACTAGTAAGTTTACTTAATAATACAGTAAATACTGTAGGTAAACATTCTGCTACAGTTCATTTTTCTCTGTCTTTTTCAATTTGTTCAAAGGGGGGATAATACACAGATGGTATTTATGCTCTAAATATTACTCTTTAAGAATGGTTTTCAGACTGTTGTACATACACCAGTGCTGGCATTGGTGTTTACTGATTTAGCTGTTTGTAAAAGGCAGAACACAAAGAATGTTAGTTCCCTGGCTTCCAGAGATCATATGAATTACTTTTGTAAGCACAGATACATCCAACAGGAGAGCGTTAATCATAACATTACAGAGGATGTTCACCCAAAGACTCATTAAAGGTTGCTAAACAAAGCTTTTTCAAACTAGACGTTAGTTGAGGTAATTTTGCTTATCTGTACGGCTGAAATTATCTCAGATGAGTAAATAAATATAAACTTATTCTGGATACATATAAGCAAACTAATAGGAATTTAGGAAATAAAAAAAGCAGAGTTTGGGAAGACAGGATCTGCTGGATGAGAAAGACTGAGATGACTGGTAGCTTCGATTTGTCTTTTTTTTTTTTTTTTTTGCTGTTGGTATACAGTTAACAGCCCTCGTTAAAATGGAGCTATTTGGAAACCAGCTAACGTATCCTGGAAGATACCATTTATCCTCTAAATGAATATATCTGAGACTACTTTCCTTTGATTCTGTCACTAGAAGCAAAGGACACAGAGGTAATTCTTTTGGAAATGGATGTAGAGACTAGCTGAGGTCGAGGTTGCGGCAGCTAATAAAACTGGTGAGATACAGAATGTTGCCAGGACAATAAACTTTTATAGGAGGTAGGAATGTTTTAAATCTCTTGAGAACAAGGTCTTACAAAAAGATTTTTCTCAAGACTGTCAAACTGATTCTTCTAGTGACCACATTTATTACAGAAAGCTTGAATTAAAGGTTCTGGTTCTCAGTCAGCGTAAAGTATTTGCCATGCAGACAATTTCAAATTGTTTTAAGGTGGTTTGCATGAAAAGGGGATGTACTCACAGAAACTGACTGGAGGTTCTTTGGTTGTTGCGACCATTCAACAACACAGTGGAAGACTACACCATGAGGATAGAAGAGAAAGCCAAACTTCTTGATCTCCTCACTAAAGAAGCAGTCTCATTAACTAAAATGGGATAGTCTCACCAAAAAGGCAGGCAGATTTTGAAAGATCTATTTCAAAGTAATTTCAGAATCAACACAAATGCAAATGAACACTGCAAATTCTGAACCCAAAGCTGCTGAAAGAAGTCTTACTGAATAAACTTCACAGACTGTTTGTAACAGTTGAGCTAATCAATGTTCTTAAGCATATTATGAATTGGGCCTTACAGTCTGCTAGTACTTGAAACAAAATTGAATCTTTGTTAAATTCTGATGATGTTTAAAAAGACTGGTATACCAAAAAAACTGAGATTCCTTAAGAGCTACAAAAAACTATAATGTTTTGTCAACTTTTTTCCCATTCTTTTTAACAGTTATATGAAAAACTACTGCAATCCTGGTCTTCGGTGATTGGTAATCCCCAGGCAGTCTTTGACCAAACTCTGGTTAGGAAAATGTATACCCTAAATTTTATTTAATTTGAGGGTAGATCCATGAAGACTCAGGATTTTAGGCATTCTCTTATGAAACTGCAGTGCTCATAATTCAGCTAATTTTTTTTTTTTTTTTTTTTTCTTTGCACAAGCAACAGAAAGAGAATCATCTAGAACTGGAAATAATATGACAATTGGATCACCATTATTACGTTATGACATTCAAAAATAATTTTGCCTACCCAAAAAAAAAAAAAAAAAGTGAGGAGGGGAAGCATTTGAAGGACTTGGGACGGGATGAGGAAGATAAAATTTTTAACATAATGGAGATCGGAGAAAGGAAAAACTACAGCTGTTTCTGTATTGTATTTGCTCTTCTGCAGAAGAAAAAGTGGGCAGAAAGAAGCTCAATTATTCTTATTATTTTTAAAGAAGTCTTTTCTTGATGTCTGGCTGTCTTACTCATTCAAATACACCCTGTAATGTGCTGCACAGTGAGAGGCTCTGTGTTCCATAGATTTTCCATGACTGAGTAATGAGGAATATTTTAAAAACCATTTGCACCTTTTTTTTTTTTTTTTTTTTTTTTAAGGTGGAAGAAAAGGGAAAAAAAGAAGGAAAGAAAGAAAAGACTTACATCTCCCATTTAGATTGTGTGTGTCCATGAAAGAGAAAGCTTCATCACAGTTGGTGCCTTGCTCAGTGTAGCTTTTATCCATTGAATTCACCATCACTGTCATTTCCTGCCGCGTACTGCTCAATGTCTCTTTTCGCTTTTTAGCCAATTTTCTTAAGAAATCAACGTTGAGAACAAAAAAACAACACAACAACAACAAAACCCAGTGAGCAGATACATTCTTCATATTGTTTACATTAGTATTATCGTTTATAGCAACACTGCCATCATATTCACAATTACTCCCAGTCTTCTGGAAACATCAACTGACATCACATTTAACCTTGAAATGTCACCTGACAACAAAGAGCAAGTTGCCAATGCCCCGATTTGCAGTGAACAGTACCTTAATCCCTGGGGAGCACCACTGAGTTACAGGGGACTACCTGGATATGAAAGTGATGTTGAGCTACTATATCAGAAACTACATCTGTTTAAATGCATAAACAAAAATGACAGGAGATAAGATTTCACTAGAACTGATAGATCAGTTAAAATTTCCACTCTGCATGTGTAGAACCACCTGGAGCTGTGTCATTGAGACAACACATAATGCAGCTCACTGCTGCACATCATACTGTATCCTCCTGGTATAATCTCTCACATACACAAACAAGTTGCATTTTAATCTGACTTGCATTTCTGAAGACTACTTTCTGTGATACCGTTTCAGATACTACTTTCAGATACCGTTGGGAAAGCACTGACACTACTGCTCACTATGCTGATCAGTATTGCCTCACAGTTCCTTCATGCTCTCCACTTGCCTACTTGCTATTTCTTGCCTTAAACTAGATAACAAGCTATTTGTGTGGGAGGCACAGTTGAGTAGCTGTATAGTAACAAGTCCAACAGTATCATAACCCACAACTAAAGGTCTAAGGTGCTTTGAACCTAAAATCTTGCGGTTAATAAAAGTGGTAATTAAAAGTGCAGAACATGGTATTGGGTCACTGCAGACAAAAATATTAAGGCACACATCTGGTCCTCAATAAACTGATGGATAGTAATTCAATTCATCAGGGTATATCTCCACGACCGAAAGTGATTGAAGTACTCTACCTTAAAAACCTGCTATAATAACTGGAGCTATGAGCAGTATCTTTGCTCATCCCACCCTGGAAGGCAGCTGCAATAGTTGGAGCTACCATGAATACACTTTAGACTGTGACTGACATCAAGAAGGAGTGCTCCTACGACCAGTTGGATGGCAGCCAGTTGTAGGACTCAGTCTTGAAGTAAACATTTAGATGTGCAATAAAAATTCACACATGCTCATTATTACAATTACAGAATCACCAAGCATGAAAAAGGTCTCCAAGATTATACAGTCCAACCATCCACCCACCACCAATTTTTCCCGAGTAAGGATTTAAAAATTCACTAATGAATTCACTAATACTGAAGTCCCACTTAGAGGCTGTTGTCAAGGTAATAAACAGTAACAAGTCACATCCTTCTTGTAGATGAAGTTTAACTTCTGATTTTGTCATTCAGAGTATCATTGGTGGACAGAAAAAAATAACTTGCACTAAACAAAGGTTTTGTTTCTGGATTTTAATTTAGTGTAAGGAGTTTAAGTGGCAGAACTTTACAAGACCTTTTCTGATGAAAAGACTAACAGACTTGTACACCTGATAACAAAACTAGCTCCTTATTAATTCATAGTGTATAAACTCTGAACAAACCTCCAGCCTCCCCTCATCCCTAATCATAATAAACAAATGATATATTATTTAAAGTAGAATCTGAGGTGTATCTATTTTGAGACCTATCTTCCAATGCACAAAAAACCAAGTCCTTAATAAGGGCAGGTTTATCAAACTGATAAACATGAAACCAGTGAATTTTCTTTACCTTCATCTCTTAGCTCAAATGGCAACACACTAAGTCTCCTCATCCTATCCTATTTATGTCAACTACACAAGGCCTTTTTGTGTCACCTGACAGCTTGCTGGTCAAATCCCATCTGGATAGCTGGGTTGTGAACCAAAGGCCTCAACTGTGGCCAGCTGTGGCCAACAACCACAGGCCAGTGAAACTTCATCTGTAAGTCACTTATTGCAATTCTTTTTATTTCATGGCTGTGCAGATCATAGGAAAATTGTCTGGACACTTCAGCACCAGAGCAATGCTTCAGGAAACAAGCAGAATCATTTTTTTTCTCAGAAGACTTCCCTTTCTCTCTAGTTGCACAGGGGTACAACCATACACTGATTCATTTTCATCTTAAGATGGAGTCAGCAGGTTCTCTTTAATCAGTTATTAATCTAATTAGCTATCTAGATACTGCATGCTAAATGAAGCCAAGATGTGACCTTTCCTTGCCCACCAGTAAACCAGTTCTCTCTCTATTCACAGAACTTTTACTTGCTATCAAGTTTAGAAGCTCAGTGCTTCCTCCAACACTTCCAGCATGTGAACAAAGTGCTGCTTTTCCGGCAACAACTCTGCCTTAGAAGTTTTTTAAAGAAAAGCTACTAGGAGAATTCCCTGGGCATCATAATAGTGATACTGATCACTGATCAATGATCTGAAAATTCACAATATGGTGAAATACCAGCCATTCAGTGCAACTCTAAAAAAGGATATGTTCTATAGGATGCACATCTCAAGGACATACCATTGCAGTGAACATCCTTTATTTTACAGTGAAAGCTATATCTTTCCCAATGAAAGTCAGAGCTTTTGCTTAATACACCAACAATATCAATTCAATCAGACTTCATAACAAGTTAGATAATTTTTGTTAAGAAATTACACTGACATTTTCTCATTTCCTTCATTTTCAGTTTGGTCCCATAATCAAGCTATAGCAGATTGTTTTTATGACAGTAACAACTGCACAGTACTTCTCAATCTGAATCTAATTCTAGAAATAGGTCTTGTGGGAAAAGTTCCAATCTGAAACAACTGCTACAGGAAAAGAGAGATACCAGCCAGAATTTGTACTGTGAACAAAAACACCCACTGGACTTAGTCAAGTAAACTTGCTGCAAAAAATATTTTCTTTACATCCGCAGTTTTCTGATACTGCTTAATGCTACAGTCTCTGCAATTCCTTGGATCTCTTGATCCCTGAGAGACTTCAGCTATACAAGATTTCAAAAACGCATAAAATCATGGTACTTCATATCAACATCACCACCACTCATGCTCTTAGATTTGAAGGTTTTTCTTTTTTTGGGGGGTGGGGAGAAGTCTTATGGAAAATATACCTCATAATTATTCTCTGATGTTTCTAGAAAAAAGTGATACAACCATAGGGAAAACCAGAACAGATGGAAACTCCCATGATGATCGCCTAGGACAAAATTCTTTAAGTAAGCAAAACAAAAATGATCAGCTTTTCACATAAACAGCGTAACCATCACCACATATGAGAATATATTATGCCAGTCCCAAAGAAAAGGAAACCTCATAGCCAGTACAATTCCAAGATCAGCTAGGAATACTGTAAGTTGATGTAGCTGTAACAATAGGGTAAAATGCAGAGAAGACAACCATACTGACTTCCCAAAACATCTTGAGTGGGTTTTTAGGTAGCATTTGTTCTGTTACAAATATTAATAAAATCAGCCTGGGAAAATAATAAACTAAAAGCTTTGCCACAATTGATTCCCATTTTAACAGCCACCATGAAATTCACAAATGCTGCATCTTCTCCTGTACGTTTCCTTCCAGTTGAAAGAGTTTCCCTGGAACACTTCTACATGTACCTAACTCTATACCCTTCTTAAAATCCTCCTCTGTGATTACTTCCCCAACACATTCCACTACCAATCCAATAACTGATAAGACACTGCTACATTATCAGTCTGGCTGGTTCATTTTCCATCTATTTACCCTTCTCATTTTTTTTTTCTCTCCTGACAACGTAAATAAAAAACTCTTGGAAACCTGGATTGTCTTATCTCTGTGTTTGTAAAGCACTGGGCACAAAGCACGAGACAGAGCTGTCAACCACCACAGTTAGATAAGCATAAAAATACTAAAAAGAAGGAAAAAATAATAAAAGGTAACTGAGACTAATAATCAGAACCAGCTCAAGGTCTGAAAGAAACCTGCCTTCTCTACTTGTTTAGATAAAGTGAGAAAAGTACAACGGCTGCTCTGAAAGTAATGCCTCTCACTTAATGATGTCGGCCCACAATGTCAGAGGTAGATGGTGGTGGTATGGCAGTAGAGGCTGAACCTTCCCACCAGTATTCCATTATGTGCTGCTGTCATATGACAGATGGCAGCAGAGGGGCAGTGTGATAGAATGGTACCTGACATGGAAGTGCACATGAAACAAAGGCGTGAAACTGAATTCCTGCAAGTGGAAAAAATGGCACCCATTGACATTCACTGATGCTGAATGTTTACTGAGACCAACCAGCGGATGTAAGCATAGTGAGGCAGTGCGTGGTGCACTACTGCAGTGGTGACAACAACAGTGGTTCAAAGGACAACCAGGCTGGTGAGGGGTCTGGAGCACAGGCCTTATGAGGAGCAGCTGAAGGAGCTGAGACTGTTCAGTATGGAGAAGAGGAGGCTCAGGGAAGACCTTATTGCTCTCTATAACTACCTGAAGGGAGGTTGTAGTGAGCTGGGGGTCGGCCTCTTCTCTCATGTATCTAGTGATAGGACTAGAGGGAATGGCTTCAAGATGCGCCAGGGGAGATCTAGGCTGGACGTTAGAAAATACTACTTCTCTGAAAGAGTGGTCAGGCAGTGGAATGGGCTGCTCAGGGAGATGATGGATTCACTGACCCTGGAGGTGCTCAAGGAACATTTGGATGTTGTGTTGAGGGACATGGTTTAGTGAGTACTACTGGTGATAGGTGGATGGTTGGACTGGATGATCTTGAAGGTCTTTTCCAATCTCTTTGTGATTCTGTGATCTCTGCTGTGCAGATGTTTATGATTGTGGCATACAGGCTCCTGCTGGCAAAAATGCATAGTTAATGGTGGTGACTACGTTGAAAAATAGTGTTTTGTAGCTGTATTCTACTCTACATTTTTTATCAAAACACCAGCGGCCCAAGTGGCCTCCTTTTGGGTGGAGGCACAAGTATCAAGCAATTGAAATCCAGTGAGGAAGCAGAAATGGCATGGAATCAGTGATATT